TGACAGGTGAATTTTTATTTAAAAAATGAAATAATGTAAGGAAAAATTTTAAGCATTTTTCAGGAGAGACACGATATGAAGAGTACTCTGATGAACATCTGAAATATTCTAGGAAAGGAATTTCTAAGTATTTTGGTGGGCATATACTCAAATCTATTTGATTAAACTATAATTACTGCTCTAATGTTTCAATTAATTTATATTTATTAAAATAACATATCTGTGCTGTTTCATATATATTTGATGTTGGTAGATTATAACAATAATTTTGGAAATCAGTTGGGCATGAAATTTTATCACCTTTAAGCCTTAATTTACATATTCCTAATTTGTAAAGTGAATGCATTTTTTATGTTTTCTTTTCAACTTGTTCTTTCTCTTTTGTGGATTGAATTGATATTTTTTGTCTATTTGTGTATCAGGATTTATTCTTTTCTATTAAATTCAAGGTTTTCCTTATACAATCTGGAGGCCAAAACACTATCAGTTAAATTGATTGCAAGTGTATTTTCATACACTTCATTCTTATTTAGTTACAATTGATGAAAAACTTCTTAAGTATATTGGAGTTGAATACACCATTTTAAAAATTTTCCAGTTCTGCTGGCTTCTATAGGAAACTTATTTTTGAGAACACAAATATATTTTCTTTTAGGATTCACTTTTATATATATTATAAGAGCTAGAAATGCATTTACATTTTTTCTTCAAATTGTAACATTTTATTGCTATTCAGGCATTAATAAAATTTACTTTCAATATTTTTAGTTTTTTTAACATAATAATTTTTTCATTAATATTTATTCCTTGATTCATACATTGCATCTAAGTATATTTTAAATGTTCAAATGTGGGGCCGGCGTTGTGATTTAGCCGGTTAAAGCCGTGGTCTGCAATGCCAGTATCCCATATGGGAGGCGGTTACAGTCTCCGCTGCTCCACTTCGGATCCAGCTCCCTGCTAATGCACCTGGGAAAGCAGCAGAGGACGGCCCAAGACCTTGGGACCCTGCACCTGCGTGGGAGACACAGCAGAAGCTCCTGGCTCGTGGCTTCAAATGGGCTCAGCTGTGTCCATTGTGGCTACTTGGGGAGTGAACCAGCTGAAGAGAGACTTGTATCTCTGTCTTTGTCTATAACTCTCTCTCTGTAACTTTTTCAAATAAATAAAATAAATCTTAAAAAATAAGTAAATGTTCAAATGTTTGTTTTATTGTTTGGTTATATTTTTACTATAGCTTTTAACTTAATTTTCATCAGTATGAGCAGATCAAATTTACATGAAATCAACCTTTTAAAATTTGTTTGGACTTGCTTTATGACATATACCTAAGAAATTTTTCTTAAAAAATTCTACATATGTGGGGTCGTTGCTGTGGCGCAGTGGGTTAAAGCCCTGGTCTGAAGCACCGGCATCCCATATGGGCCCCGGTTTGAGACCCGGCTGCTCCACTTTCGATCCAGTTCTCTGCTACGGCCTGGAAAAGCAGTGGAGGATGGCCCAAGTCCTTGGGCCGCTGCACCTGCGTGGGAGACCGAGAGGAAGCTCCTGGCTCCTGGCTTCATATTGGCACAGCTCCAACCATTGCAGCCAACTGTGGAGTGAACCAGCAGATGAAAGACCTGTCTCTCTCTCTCTGTGTGTGTGTGCCTGTCCTCTCTCTGTGTAACTCTGACTTTCAGATAAATAAATCTTAAAAAAATTCTCCATATGCCTGAGTAGAAAATTAAGTTTTAGAAAACAGGGTTTTGTATGTGTTCATGCAATAGGCCTTATTCAGTGCATTGCTCAAAGCATGCAATGATTGTTTAGCAGTAGTAATGGCAAAGCATCTGTAAACACCATGTCAAATATGACAGGTCAGTGTGGATGCAGTCTATAAGAGGGGCTGTGTCTACTCTGGTGCTGCATGCCAGCATATTCGTCTTTGGTAAATGATGCTTACATAACTTCTACTTCCCTGATATTTTAAAAATATCATTGTTGAAAATTTCACAATTGTGGCTGATTTTGCAAAAATTCAATTCTAAGAATCTATTCCATTTTTAAATTGAATATGTTTTTAAAATTATGACAACTTCCTAGAGAATTAATATATTTTTACGAAATCATGATTTAATGAGTTCCTTATTTTTAATGATCAGCCTCTCTTTCTACATAATCTTCCATTCTCAAACTGAGTGCCTGGAGCAGCTTCACAGGGATATTTCAGAGCCAGAAAGGTGAGCTTGAGGCCACAAGACCTCCTGATTTCTAGGACAGAACTAGCACATTGTCAAGTCTGCTGCAAGTCACAAGTTCAGCCAAATGTAATAAGAGAAACAGGTTTTGTCTCTCGATGGGTAGAGCTGGAAAGAATCTGTGGATATATTTAGTATATGACAGATTACTTCTATTTATTTTAATTATTGATATACTTGAGCATATTTTCACCATTATATTTTAAGCTTTATACATATTAGAATTCCTTTTTCTAATTTCATGGTGTTTGAATAATCCAATTTTATTTTGAAATTTATTTCCCTATATAGATATTGAAGATAAACATTCTATTTCTACTTCTTTCCAGATTATTTAATTTAATGAAGTAAAAAGTTAAACAATATCTATCTCTTTATCAGCCTAAGGTCCTAGAAATATTTTAATTCAGATGATAGCCCCCTCCTCACCTCTTGAAGATTAGAGACAATTACTGTCCTGAATTTTTGTTCTACCTTTTTCTCAAAGAGTTTTCCCCCCTCTTTATTTTAGGATTTACTTAAGGCAGAATTACAGGGAGAGAGAGAGAGAGAGAGAGCGCTTCCATCTGCTCATTCACTCTCTAAATGTCTGCAAGGCTAGAGCTGGGCTAATCCGAAGCCAGGAGACAGGAGCATTTTCCAGGTTTCTCGCATTGGTGCAGGGGTCCAAGGACTTGGGCCATCTTCCACTGATGAACTAGATTGGAAGTGAAGCAGCTGGGTCTGGAACTGGCACCCATATTTTACCCACTACACCACAGTGCCAAACCTAATTCTACTTTTTATCTTCATCAAATTACATATTTTTATTACTTTATGGAAACAATGGTTAAATATCTTGATTAGTTTTATTTTTTTATTTTTTTATTTTTTTACTTTGAAAGAGTTACACAGAGAAGGGGAGAGGCAGAGAGAGAAATACAGAGAGAGAGGTATTCCATCTGCTGGTTCACTCCGCAATTGGCCAAAACAGTTGGAGCTGTGGTAATCCGAAGCCAGGAATGAGGAACTGCCTCTGGATTTCACACACGGGTGCAGGGGCCCAAGGGCTTGGGCCATCTTCTACTGCTTTCCTGGACCATAGCAGAGATGGATTGGAAGTGGAGCAGCTAGGACTCGAACTGGTGGCCATATGGGATGCTGGCACTGCAGGCGGTGGCTTTACCTGCTATGCCACAGCGCCGGCCCCCTTGATGAGCTTTATAAACAACACTTCTACTAGATTCATTTTTTTTAAAGTAAATCTTGTAGCTTGCTCTTGTGTCTACTGATGCTATATCACTTCACAAGTTATTTATTTTCCTGTGACAATTTCTTCCTTGCTTTAAGATTTATTTTATTTATTTGTTTATTATAGTTAGTCACTCTTTCCTTTTTAAACAAGGATAATGCTTGCTCATCATTGAAATATCAGAATACATCACACCACTGGATACATTGCATGTTGAGTAAAAGAATGAATGGTACAGATAATAAAGAGATCACTCAGTCCCCGAAATCAGATTATGACTGCAGTTTTCTATGAAGAATAATATTAGGCACAACATTCTTAAAATTAAATGCCCCCTGAATACAATATCCAAAATGGGAGGATAATATAGGGAAAGATAAACTGGTGTTCATATTTTTAGTCAATAGGACATTTATTTTAAAACAATGTAAGAAAGTAGTTTATTTTTATAATGGGAGTTTAGTATAAACTCTCCATAGAAAAAGAGTACAGAATACAAATTGTAGCAAAAATACAGAATATAGAAAGGGCAGGACACTTCTATAAGAAAGAAAACCAGCATCATTGACATTCTTTTCTTTTTTTTTAAACTGGCAGAGGATGCCGATATCTTTAGTTTATGGGAGAAAATGGAAAATTTTAATAATATATTGATAAAATTCTAATGATGATAATCAATTTTGAAGTGTATATAGAAAAATATGGATTTTCTGCAATTATTTAGAAACATGAAACCCTGTATACACTGTAATCACCATGGTGTGTTAGTGTGGAATTCACAAAATAAGAGAATAAGCTAGGAAAAGAGAATTCTTGGAGAGATCATGAAAAATAAACTCCTTTAACCATATTAATGAAGGATTATTGCCATTTATTTTATTAGGAAGTGCCAGAAATTTCTGAAAAAACAATTTATTATATTTTGATTAATTTAGAAGTTTCTACAGAGATAATGCTCTTTTTGTTAATCAAGGAGTTTGCACAAATTGATGTTATTGTTGTGCCTTTGGATGCTTTAAAATTCTTTTTCTAAAAAAAAATTATTTATAAGGCAGAGTTACAGAGAAGGAAAGAGAGAGAAAGCGAGAGAGAGAAAGATTCTATCCAGTGGTTCACTCCTCAAATAGTTGGATTGGCTGGTACTGAACCAGGCTAAAGCCAGAGCCAAGAGCTTCATCCGGATCTGCCATGTGAGTGTTAGGGATCCAAGTACCTGGGTCATCTTCTGCTGATTTCCATTGTTCATTAGCAGGGAGCTAGATAAGAAATAGAGAAACTGGGACTCCAACTGGTGCCCATATAGGATGCTGGCACTGAGGAGGGGATCTTGACCTGCTGTGCCACAACACTGTCCCTAGTTCTTGCTTCTTTAGCTTGGCAAATCAGCATATCTGAATTCAGTCTATTCCAGTTAACTTATCAAAATATGTGTAAACGTAATAAAGCATATACTCACATGTGATCACTGGTATGACAGAGCTTAAGTGTTTGCCCTCACAAATTATGACTTCAGTTTCATTTCTCCATAGGTGGAGACACAACATTCCCACGAACCAGATCTTTAAGCAAGAGTTTTCATGGTTCCAGGAGACAGGTATAACAAGTTCCTGGACCCACAGCCTGGCTTCCCTTTCTTGAGAGCCCTGATCATTCGTTAATGTAAATGGAATGAATGAGCTTGCAAAGGAGTCCAAAGCTTACTGGAATGGACAGGACTAACACCGCATGTACTGCAAATATTTTGTTTGTTTATTATAATATGTGACATCTAGACCCTTCCTGGAGCATGCCTTTCATATGGACAAACTAATCATTCTAGGACCATATTTCCCATATCAGCCTATCAATCCCCAGGAGGCAATATTTCTTACTTCAATCATCCTAGGATAGGTGCTGGAGAAAACACACTGAAATTAACAGCTAGTCGGTCGTATAGTGTTTGTATTATGTTGCTTTGCTTCTCCTGCAGAAACTCCAATATAGGCAATGCCCTAAACCCGTACATTCATTCCCGCCTTCTGCCTACAGATCACACTGCTCCTTCCTATGTGGTCCTGCAGGGCATGACACATCTGCCTCTAGGACCTGTGAGTATTTAATACACTTTAATGTCTCCTCTTTTGGATGCATTTATTTGAGTATATCATAAAACATGCACACATACCATAATATGGTACTACAAATATCTAAGTAAACTTGAGTGGGACTGGCAATATTCCACTGATGGGAAAGGACTTAACAGCCTAGCACATTGGCAGAAGTGAACAAAATTGTACCATAAGTGGTTGAATTGGCTACACTAGTTACAGTCATAATCATGGTTTATTCATTTGTAATAAGAAATACTTCTGTATAAATGAAATTATCAGTAACTCTGTAAAACCATTTCCTTCAGACAAGCTAGAAACTCACAGAAAATCTTATTATCACTAGTTTTCTTGGTGAGCACAGAAATCGAAATAAAGTATTTCTGACTCAAATATGTAATGGAATCAGATTTCTGAGGAGCTGCAACATTTTCTACCTGTCTGCGCTGCACCAGCTTGCCCCTGCCATACATTTGGAGGGGCCCAAGCAGGCGGTATTTGCTTCTTCTTAGTGCCATTGTTGATTGCCCTGTGCTAACAAATGAGTATAAATGCAGTGTTCTTAAACTTTTTGACTCAGAGGACTTTTGCAATGGTACCTCAGAAAGTTCATGGAAAATGTAACTAAAAGATGTTAATTTTGGTGCAAAAAGAATTTCAAACTCATGCAAATGAGAGGTATTCAAAAAGTCAAAAAGTTATTAGAAAAATTTTATTAGGAACAAAAACTTATAAGAATTTTAAACATCTTTTGAACCCAAATAAACTTATCTTTAATTCCATTTTCACACATTTGTGAAGTAAGTTTGTATTCTAACCTACAAAGAATTTTTATTTTACGTAGATTTTACCTATCAATATTTACTAGAAAGCAGAATGAAGGAAGCTTTTCATATTTATTTATTAATATAAAATAAATAGTAACTCACTACCTATTATCATTAAAACAGATTTTATGAAAAATGAATATCTTTTCAAATACACAGAAAAGCATGGTTTTACATTTTTGCAAATTTCTTCTATATATGAGTAGAAGACGGAAGTCTCATGTCTTGTTTACATTCAATCTGTTGCAATATGTTGTTCTAGTTAAAGTATATGAAGAAAATCTGGCCCTACAAAAAAAGTAGTTACTGAAAGAGGAAGTAGTTGAGAAACTTTTTCAGATATAAGTATATGTTACCACACAAAAACTTGACAAGTGGTAGTTTCTTAAATGTAAGTAGCAAAGTATAATCTGAATTATTCAATAAATTTATATTCTGCTGCAGAGTAATCTGTTGGCTTTCTTTGTTGTAAGTATGGTCTTTGAAACATGAAAGAATTTTGTTAGCATATTTTATTTTACCTATTTTCCTAATATTGAATTAGGGATCCATTAACCATACTTTGAAAACACATTTTATAGAATATATGCATTCTATAAATATAATAATACTTTAGTTCATCTTTATAAACTCAACCTAAAATCTAAAATGTAATTATTGAAAGAATAAATATTTTAATATACAATTATAGAATTAAACTGTATGTAAGATATTAAGAGCATAAGAATTATGTAAAAATTATCAAGCACAAAATTACTTCTAGTCTATTGGTTGGAATATACTCTGAGATGTGAAAAAGTAGTTTAATTTAGAATCATTGAAAGGACTAAGTTTTTTGTTAAAGGGATTTGCTTTATTCAACATTAGCTGTCTTATGGAATTAGTAGAGTGCCTGGTATATGATAAATGCTCAATAAACATTTGTTGAATAGCTAAATAAGCATATAACTAAATATAATAGATAACAGATGACTAAAATTTCTTTGAACAGTTCCTTAGCAGAGACAAAAAAAAAACTGTTTTGGATTAGTATCTGACCCACAGCATTTGTACCATCTCATGGATGGACATATTCTAACTTATTTGTATATTTTGCCCTGTTCTTTCACCTTGACAGGAAAGTGTTGAGAAATTTTTTTATTATGTATTTATTTTTTATTTTTATTTTTTTGACAGGCAGTGAGAGAGAGAGAGAGACAAAGAGAAAGGTCTTCCTTTATCGTTGGTTCACCCCCCCAATGGCCGCTGTGGCCGGCACACTACACTGATCCCGAAGCCAGGAGCTGGTCTCCCATGGCACTTGGGCCATCCTCCACTGCACTCCTGGGACACAGCTGAGAGCTGGACTGGAAGAGGAGCAACCGGGACAGAATCTGGTGCCCTGACCGGGACTAGAACCCTGGGTGCTGGCGCCGCAGGCAGAGGATTAGCCTATTAAGCCAGGGCGCTGGCCAAAAGTGTTGAGAAATTTTGCTACCAGGAACTTAAAAAGTAGTTCTTCCTAGTTTTTTTGCTATTTGATGTTTGCTTTGTTTATTGCTTTTGACATTAAAAATATGATTTAGTTGGTGCTGAGTACTGTCATGGATTAACAGTATTCTGAACTGTGCATTTAGATTTTATTTGCAGTTTGCAAAACAGATAGCAGTAGCTTATGATCAGTTCTAAGTGGAACAAATGAAGGAACTTACTGCACAGAGGTGTTTTTATACCAGAATTCTACAACTTTCGTGCACTTAAATATTAAAAAATCCATAAAATAAAAACTCGGGACAGACATTTGGAATAAACTACTGCTTGGGACATCCAAATGCCATTATGGAGTTGTCTTTGTCCAATTCCTAATTTCAGCATCCTACCCAATTTGTACTGGGACAGACAGATTGTGTCCCTGCCACCCATATATGAGATGTGGATTGAGTTCCTGTCTCCTAGCTTCAGGTTGGCCTAGCCAGAGCTTTTGTGGTCATTTTGGGAGTAAACCAGTGGGCAGGAGGTTTACCTCTGTCTGTCTCATAGTTTGTCCTTGTCTTTCTCTGACCCAGAAAGGAAGAAAAGAAGAAAGGAAGAAAGAAAGACTTGGGCTGGATAATTTGGCTTTATAATATTATCTTTGTTGTAATATGCTTTGCATTCTCTTTTGCTGTGAGAATTGTAAACCACACAAAGAAGTTTTACTGCTGTATTGCAGACAGTGAGCCATACAAAATAATGATTCTAGGAGGCATTTGAAGATTTATAAAGCATACCATCTAACACCAAATGTTATGGGTTGAATAATGTTCTCCCTCATTGTATATCAATACCCAATAGGGTAGAATGTGACCTTATTTGGAGCCAGAATCTTTACAGAGATAATAAGGTTAAACTTAAGACCCTATGGTAAACTCTAATGTGATAGAACTACCATCTTTATAAAAAGAGAAAATTTTAAGAAGAAGAAACACAGTTGGAAGAGTGCTATGTGAAGATGAAGGCAGAGACTGAGGTAATGGCATCTTCAGCAAAGATTGCCAGGGAACTGCCAGAAGCTAGGAAGACAGATAGGGAAGATATTCCCTATGACAGCCTTCAAAGAACCAAGCATCCAGGTATCTTGGTCTCAGACATCCAGAAGGGTGAGGCGGCACTTTTCTATTATTTAAAGTCATTTCATTTGTGGCGTATTGTTCAGAGCATTCCTAGCACACAAATAACACCAAGAAACTCAACCCTTTTGTTGTTTTGATTTTTTTCAGCTTCTGTGGATAAACTCTCATTTATAAAGAACTCTCATATAAGGTTTAAACTTTTATTTGGGAGTATGCAGTATTGATGACATGACAAAATAAGAAGCTCTGAATTGTGAGTGTTTGCTGATATTTGTAAAGTTTGTTGAGGTTCACAGATAAAAGCAACAGATGAAGAAGAAGCACACATTTTAGATAAACAGTCTTAAATACACTGAGACAGCCAGGATTATGTTTGGATTATGGCTATTTGCTGCCCCACTCTGATTCAGTACTACTAAACAAAATAAAATAACTAACACCCTACCAGGACAAGTTATTATATTTGAACACTCATTTTTTTTCCTGAACTTAGTTAACCACATAAAACATAGTTAATAATGGTGACTTACAGTTCTCCTGTAAAGTTTTGGGATGTCCATTCAAAGAAAATACGTGATTTATCATCTCAATATTTAGGTATTTACGATCAATTTGGTAGGCAGAATAATGCTCCCTACAATGTGCCCATGCCCTGAAACCTAGAGCCTGTGAATATTAGAGTATTACAAAATGTCCTTGAAAAAAATGGAATTAAAGAAAATTTATTAAGTTATAGAAAATGTTTGAAATACATACATAGTGTTTTCATACTACATACTTTCCATTAACATTTTGAAAATGTCTCATATGTTCCTTTATATGAGAAAAAATACTTTGCTGATATGGATAAGATAGGGACTTGGATTATTCTAGTGAGTTCAATATAATCTCTTGAGTCCTTAAGGTCAAAGAACTTTTCTCAACTGAGTTTAGAGTCAAATGGAAATGTGACTGATGAAGAAGGGTCAAAGAGATAACACATTGCTGAAATCTGGCTTTGAGATGGAGGAAGAGGTCCTAAACCAAGGATGCAAGCAACCTGCACAAGCTAGAAAAGGCAAGGAAATAGGCTTTTTTCTGGAATCTCCAAAAAAGAATGATTCCCCGACAATGGCAAGATTTCATCCTAGTGAGGCAGACCTGTGTTTTGATTGCTTACTTACAGAATGACAGGATAGTGAATTTATGTTTGTAATGATTTGTTACAGCAGCAATAGAAAACTAACACAATCAATAAATTATCAACAGGTATTTTTCAATCAGCGAATTGTGCAATGTGCCTGAAGATTATAAATAACAGGGTAAACAATAATAACTGCAACAATTTACTAAGAAACATGAGATAGCAGACTCAATATTTTTTAACCTCCTTTGTCTTCGCAGTAATATTTTATTTATTGGAAATGCAGAGTTAGAGAGCAAGAGAGCAAAACACACACACACACACACACACAGAGAGAGAGAGAGAGAGAGAGAGAGAGAGACCTTCCATTTGCTAATTCATTCCCTAAATGACCACAAGGTCCAGGCTTAGGACAGGCTCAAACCAGTATCCCAAATTCCATCCAGGTCTCCCATGTGGG